AACCATGAGATCATGACCTGAGCCGAAGTCAGATGTTTAACTGATTGAGCCAACCAGGTGCCCCAATGTGTATCATTTTTATTATCAGTCCCCCCAAAATATTCTGCTGCTCTTTACTTCCATGCCCCTGCCTGCTAGGCTCCTTCTTCCTGGCTTGCCCTGCCCAACCTGGTTTACCTGGCAAATACCTATCCGCCTTTCACAACTCAGCTCAAACTATCCTCCTACCAAAGCCTCTTCTAAACCCACACCTCCAGGCTCAGGTGGAAGAACCGAGCCCCCCACCACCATAAACTCCCCACTCCAGCCCTGATGCTCTCAAGTGTCTCCCCACTGCCTGGGAACTCTGCAGGAACAGGAAGGAGACCACAATCTCACTCCCTTCCAGTTCCCAGAGCCCAGCACAGGGCCTGGCACACAGCAGACACTTAAGGAAACAACAGTAATGACAGCTGGCCTTTACAGAGAGCTTGTTACACATACACCTGCTTGTAACTGGTATCACAACCTTCCAACAGATGTTTTATTATCATTCGCATTTTACAGATGTGGAAATGGAAAAGCAGTGAGGTTAGGTGGCTTTACCAAGGTCACAGACCTAGAGGCAGACTTAGGATTTGAACTCAGGACTCTCTGACTAGAGTGCATGCTCTTAACCATTCCAGGTAAAAGAAGGAATACGGAGAAAGAAGAGCCACAGGGATGTGAGCTGACCCCCGGAAGGTACCAGGACACAGCACAGCGTGTGACCCTCCCTGCTCACGCCTGGTCTGAGAAACTTTTTCATACTGCTGGTTTCAAGACAGAACCAACCCTACCCTCTGGACAACAGAGCATTTCTAACAAGCTGCCAGGTCAGGCTGCTGCTACCACCAACCGTACTTTGGATAGCGAGGGTCAAAAGTGGTGGTTGTCACAGTGGTCCCATCAGTACTACTGCACGTGGGAGCTTATTAGAAATGCAAGTTCTGGGGCCCCTGAGAAACTCAGTTGGCTAAACTT